TCGACCCGTAACCTCGGTGGTCAAAGTGCTGCACACGTCGGACGCCAACCTGTCGATGGCTTCCAATCCGGAACGGAGCTTCTCGTCGAGGATGCGTTTCCGACGCATCAACTCGTTCAACTCCTTGGCTTTGTGCTCTCGCGGAGCTCGTCGGCCGTCGCTGAACCGATCGTACCTTCGCCAACTACAGGCGGTATCCCCTTCGCACCCTTCTTGGATGGCACGCGTGGACGTCCAACCACACCGAGTTCTTTTCCGGTATGGAAACGAGACACGGCTTTAGAGGACACTCGTAGCACGAGACGTCGTCGCACACTGTCGTCCACTTCAGCAACTTCGGCCACCTAGGTGCTAGTTCGTACACGGTGTGCACCGTCCGCTTGTCGGTCAGAACCGAATTGCACCACTTTTCCTGGTTGAACGTCAAAATCAGGTATAGTCGATTCTCGGTCTCGTCGGCGTTCAAGATGCCCCACCACAGAATTTGGCAATCGTGTCCTCGACCTTCGGTCCATCGGAGATGGAACAGCGAGGTTTTGCCGAGAGAAGCGACGACGTTTCTGAAGTTCATCCGAACTTGCACAACAGGTCGCTCGAAGCCGTTCCTGGCAACGGCGTTCAGCGCCTCCGTCACTCGACCGCCGAAGACGAACAGTTCGCAACAGCCGAGAAGATCCAAGCATCGACGATCGTTCGCCATAAATCGGTCCATGCACATCATAAGATTGGACGCGAATTCGTTGATCTCCTCGATAAGGAAGTTCTTCGTGCACCCCAGCAGATGGTGTTTGGTCCGTTCCAGCAACGCATCTTTGAGATCTTCGTTCAGAAGCAGGTATGCGGCAACGGACACTGCGAACACGTACGCGTTCAGGTCGCCCAAGTCCTCTTCCGACTTGCGGTTTGCAGAAACCACAACAACCTCACGGTTGTTGCGATCGGGCGCGAACACGTCGCGACGGAGGAGAGATCCAACAGTATCTGGCCGCCGGAACTATAGACGTCTTCTCCGCATCCGAGTCTAAAGTCCGCGAAACCTTGTACGAAGCCGGACATGACCGTCCAACGTCTCAATCCATTTTTCGCCCTCTACGTCCCGCTTCCTTCTCCGAGTTTGATGTTGAACGTCAACGCCATGGTTCGTCGCGAACGAAGAATGCTACCCGAATTAATTATTCTTCTTGTTTTTATACTCGACGATCTCTTCTTTAAAAGGAAACAACTTACTTCGAAATCAACATATGAACGCGAGACGCAGAAAGTAGAATACAATCGGCATGCTGTTCTTCTTCGCCCTGACAGTGATGTTAGTTTCGGTCGCGTATCCTATGCCGACCGAAGATCAATCGCCTTCGACGAACGAAATCGACGTCTCTTTCGCAACGAGCGTCGGCATCTCGTCCATCGTCGAAATGCGAGTGGGGAAGGAGTGGCGAACAACTCGGCGTTCGTGTTCGATCTTGATCGAACTCTAGAATCCTCGACGGCTACAGAGTTAGACTGGATGCCGGACTCGGTCGCCAAAAAGAAGTGCAGATTGAAAGGGAAGGAAGAACACGACTGCCAGAACTACGTGAAAATCGTAACTCCGGATTTAACGAACGGTCGAGTGTTGATCTGCGGAACCAACGCTCAGAAACCGAAGTGCATTTATGCCGAGATGTCGAACTTGGAGAGTGGTTGAAGGAGAAGGAACGCGACGGACGGTCTGTACAATTGTCCGTTCGCCGTCGACCAAAAAGTAACGTCCGTCTTCGCTGAGGGTAGCCTGTACGCCGGGACTGTCGCCGATTTCAACGGCAGGGATTCCGCACTGACGAGGTCGATGGGCAACGCCGTTCCTCTCATAACCAAGAGGCACGATTCGTTGTGGCTGAATCACCCGAAATTCGTCGGTTCGTTTGTAGAGGGAAGAGAAGTGTTTTTCTTCTTCCGAGAAGTTTCCGAAGAAAACTGCGAGAAGATTTACCGTTCGCGAATCGCCCGCGTTTGCACCGACGACAAGGGAGGCAGAACGATACTGGACTCCAGTTGGACGACTTTTCTGAAGGCGCGACTCGACAGTTCGTTCCGAGGGGAATTTCCGTTTCGCTTCAACTACCTGCAGGACGTCGTGCGGACCGTCCGCGGAGGAAAGGTCATCTACTACGCAGTTTTCACGACGAAGGAACACGAAATACCCGCCTCGGCCATCTGCCGTTTTGGCCTCGACGACATAAGGGACAACATCGAAAGAGGTCCGTTCTTGCGACCAACGGCGCCTTGGGGACGCATCCCGGATGAGGACGTTCCGGACAACAGACCGGGCGATTGTTCGGTCGACTCGACTCTACTTTCGTACGAAGATCTGAATTTCGTGAAATCGCACCCGTCGCTGTACGAACCGGTCGGAAGTGGGGACCCGCTCTTTACGCTCGTTCGACAAAACTACAGGTTGAAGACGTTGACCGTGACTGAGACCGGTAACCGTACGGTCGTTTTCGTCGGAACGGACGACGGTCGAGTCTTGAAATTGGTGCTGTCGGAAAATCAGGCCGTCCTTCTGTACGTCATGCGCGCGACAGAGCAACCGATCACGAACGCCGGCTTGAATGGTAAATTTTTGTACGTAACCTCTACCGATCGACTTTACGAAATCCCTCTTCTACGGCATTGCCGACTCCTGAACGATCGCACACGCAAGCAAGATCCGCATTGCAGTTTAATGTCGACGCACTCCGGCGTCGAGTTGGAACCAAGACCGTCGGAGCACGTGCAGACAGTGGAAAAGACGAACGCGGACGTCGAGTTGGAACCAAGACCGTCGGAGCACGTGCCGAACGTGAAGGCCACGAACGCCGACTTGGAGTTGGACCCAAGGCGTTCGGAGCACTTGCCGAACGTGCAGGCGAAGAACGCCTCTCTGGACTCGCCGTCGACGGATCACATCAGTCTCGTCGCATTCGCAGCAATAGGGTGGACACTTTGTATAGTTAAAGCTATAGGCATTGTTTGGTTGATATTTAAAGTTACTTTGTTGGTACGGTAAGAAAAAGAAATCGTGCGTTTTTTTACATATCTGTGTATTTTTATAATCAGTTTCTGTCAGAGTTAGGAACATGCGAACAGAGGCAAATGCATTGTTGATTTTAAAATTGAAATAAACGAAGATTGACACATAATTTGTTTGTTTTTCTTTTATTTCGTCTAATCAACACTCAACCAGCATAATCAATAATGAAAGTCCATCTGAACCGAATAACGTACATCGTACTTAATGTCGAAACCTACGACGCAGGGAAGTATATTATAATATGAGCATTTGTTCATCAGCAGTACGACGGTCGGACTATCCACCTGCTGGACGTACGTTCTAAGTAACCTGGGCAATGCCTCGTGACGCACGTCGTTTGAGACGATCGTTCGCTTGCACAGCAACTTTAGGGAAGGCATATCGTCGTACCATTCGTAGGAATATGTGAAATAACACACCGAACCTTCGGTTGCAACCGCAATGCTTTTGTTTCCCTCACTTTCGTCGTTGTAATATTCGAAGGTACGATTCTTCAGTCGACCGAACGTTGGATTTTCGATTATTATTCCTTCGTCCTTTATTATTCCTTCGCCCTCGATGACACCGTAAAATCAAACGTCCTGGCTGTTTCCTATCGTGAATCGATGAAATCCCTTCGCCAGAAAACCACGCATCACGAAGTAACCTTCGGAAATCTCGTCCCACTCGTGCATTCTATGGGCTACTTTTTTTTGCAATTTTTCTTTTCATCGACGTCTGCACCGGATGCATTCGACTGAACAATATATCTTATTCGTTGAAAATCGTCTCGTTACTGCAATCTCCTTGCAAAAATTCAGGTTTTTAGAGTTATATTATTCAACATTCGTTCAAATATTTACGGGCGCCGACGCAAAAGTTGCGAGCCCGTGCGCACAGGGGATCGCCGCAGCGGAGAACGAACAACTTCGTTCGCCCACCTCCCAGATCCTTGCTGTGGAAGACCAACTCGTCCCTTCTCGTCGCTCGTTCCTCTTCGATGGACGTCGTCACGACTGTGGAACAGCAATCCGGTTTTCCTTCCTCCGACGCTGCAACCGTCACTCTGGTCGGCACTCCTTCGACGGCGAGTCGAACCTCCCGCAATCGATCGGAGGCGCCACGACCACAGGCGGAGGCGAGGACGCCGAGAACGCTGTCGTTATCCGGTTTCGACGGGCACCTCTTTCGGAGGGCATCCAGCAGACCTGTTGCGTCGACGAAGTCGTTGCGACACGCCGCGAACAAAGGGTGCTGGGAAGCTCCCTCGTGTCTGACGTAGTACGGCGCCGGCCGGAAAAGACCGAGCGCGGCGCACGCTCTCCTGAACTTGGAAGCGTTCGTTTCCTTCTTCGACAGTCGGCGAATGCTCGATAACGAAAACGTTTCGTCGTCTTCAGACCGTCAGCGAGTTCGACGAACGCACCGGCGCAGGCCTCCAAAGCCGACGCATGATCGTCGTGCGTCAGCGCAATCTCCACCAACTTCCGGTCCAGCTTCGGAACTAGAGGTTCCGCGTCGTCCCTCACGTTCAGCATGCCGACCGTGCCGACTGTACGGTCCTCTCTCTTCTTTGCCGTCGTCAGCAGCAGCCGTCTGTACGTCTCACTCCGGACGAACTTCTGCCATCCGTTTCCGCCGACGGTTTTTTCGAATTCCATCTGCAAGTCGGGTCTGCCGTTCGCCCCGACATTCACGAACAGCGAGTCAGTGTCTCCGTAAACAACCCGAGCGCCCTTGCGTTCGGCGCAATACTTCAACTTGGCCAGCTGTCTCCTGCAGCTCGACGTCACGTAGTTGTAGAGTCGACCTCTTCCGGAGATGGCCAAGCATCCGATGCACGCGTTCGCCACCCGTTTGTACGCGGCGACCGTTCCGGTCGTTCGTTCCGTCCTCGCACCAGCCTCTTGAGTACGGACGGCAGAAAACCTTCGAGCACGCTCGCGTCGACGAAGGACCCGTCTTCGAGAGCGGTCGCCTCTTTCACGTTCCGGTCGACGACAATCCTGGGATAGTAGGACTTGAAGTCGTACACGTCCACGTGATCGTGAATCCCGGGCACTGGTTCGAGAACGAGACCTCCGCCTCCGGCCGGTTCTTCCACCGTCTCTCTTCGACGGGGAAACACGAAACCCCGTCTGGCAGCCTCCCTGCAGAGCATGGACGACAACATCTGCTTCCTGGTTCCTCCGGGAAAGGTGCCCGTCAACCTTGACGAGTCCAAGACGGTTTCCACAAAACGACTGCTGCGCACCTTGCGTTCGTAATCTCGGAGGACAGACAACTCCTCATCAAGCACGTCGTCTGACGTTCGTGCAGAAAGTTCGTTGCAAGATCTTCTGCTCGCGTACTCGTACATGGAATCGCGATCGCGGCACCGTCGGCGTCCTCGGAGGTGTCGACGCATATCGGCCATCGGGATATCGGCAGGTCGCACGCAGAGCATCTGTTCGTCAAGACCGTCTTCACCCACTCTCCGTGATACACGAGAACGTCGGCCGATTTCAAGAGGTTCGTTAGACATCGCAGCACCTCCCTCTCCTCGGGCTCCTTCGACATCCTTCCGTAGGAGAGAACTACGGCGGTCACGCGTCAGGTCACGTCGAGTCGAACGGAGAGGTAGAGCACGGACGGCTGCACGGGATCGGTTTCCTCAAGTTCCAGGTGGGTTCGTTCGTCGTACTCGAAATTCTCGGCGTATCCCTTCTCGTTCGTGGTGCATCAATGCCAAGCGCACCCGTGCACACCGACGGCGCACTGGGCGTCCAGGTCGTCGACGGCAGACGGCAGGTTGCCGAACGTGTTCTCCACGGAGATGCCGTTCCTGTCCCGTGACCTGAGCGTGCGGTACGTTCAACCTACGGACTCGTATCTGTCGCCTCTTCGTAAAGTCGCCGTCTTAGTCTTCGGCGTAACACTGGAATTCCACCTTCGTACTCTCCAGGTCAACCGGCCGTCCGTCTAAATTTCTTCCGCGAACGGACAACCTTCCGGTTATCTTTGAATATTTGGCGCTCGTCAGATAGACGAACATGGCTAATTGTCAGAGAGAAAAAAATAACATTCGCATACAACAGATTATCGTTAAATGATTTCTTTTATTATTCACTTTTCAATTAATAGAAAGAATCTAATTTTCATCTGTACACCTTCGTACCGTCCGGTATCTGCCACTCCGAAAGCCTCTGTTCGATGGGACGTCTGAACGTCGGGCAGTTGTTCACCCGCTTCGAGCACGATCAACAGGATATGAAATGTCGGCAAGGCATCGTCATCACATCGGAGTACGCGTCCAGACACATCTGGCATCTGTCAACGTCCTCTAGCGTCCGGAGAGACATCCAATCGAAACCGGGACACAATTCGTTCAACACGTCGCCCACCGTGTAAGCCATCATGTCCTTCCAAGGATGAGACGAGTACGCCTTCTGCGCGATCGCCAAAACGTCCGCCACGCGTCCTCGTTCGCAAGGCCAGTCGCCGAGAACGGAAGATATCCAATTCACCGCGGACGGGCGATCGTATCCTTTCGGTCGAACGTCCAATCCTTCCTTGCTTCGGTTAGTCGCCGTCTTGTTGAAAGGGTCGTCCGGGTTGCGATGCACGATGCACCTTCTGGCGATCTGAAAGGGAGGTGGAAGCACGCGACGAGACTCCGACTTGCACGCAGTCCTCAATCTGTCGATCTCTTTTATCACTTTCAAATGTCCCACTTTCAGACACCTCTTTCCACGGATAGTACAAAAATATCGGGTTTCCCACTCCTAGTCGCTGACGGTCGGGTCGATGACGTGTTGGTACTCGTCGAAAAAAAAATCGGTTTACCTTATCGCCGTGAAACTCGGCTTCGTTTATCGCTTTTGCAAACACTCTCATGATTCTCGTCGTTTCGGCCATCGTTTCTCTTATGATTCTCGTCGTTTCGGCCATCGTCTCCATGACCTAGACCTAACTGTGGTAAACTTTGACGACTTCACCGACTTTTGTACGACAGATCGGACACGACGCTAACCTGACGGAACACGAGTCGCAGCAGACGAGATGGTTGCACGGAGTCAGGAGGACGTTCGAATCGCGATCCATGCACACCTTGCACGACATCTCGTCCTTGAGATCGGTAAGTTCCCTTAATAGATCTCCGCGAGATTTCTTGTCGTCGTCGTCGTCGCCGACGCGTACCTTTTTCGTATAGCTTTCGACGGGCGCACGAACTCCTTCATCCTCTTCTTTTCGTTCCGGGCGTTCGTCTTCGGCATCTTCTTCCAAGCGAAGTTCGGCGATCAGAGACACCAAGCTCTCTTGTTTCGACGGATCTTTGACCCAGTCCTTTTTCCTGTCGGTCCCTTTTTCATCGAAGTCGATTATGCTCGAGACCAGAACTTCGTTTGTCAACGAGAACACTTGTCCTTTCTTCTCAAGATGATCGCTCACGACCTTTGCGATCACGTCGCTGTCGAATCCGAATTCGGAGGCAAAACTAATCTTGGAAATCAGGGTTTCCTTCGTCTTGCGCCGCAACCACAAGCACGAACTCCCGTGTTCGGCGTGTTCAGAAAAGGAAGGTCGTCCGGCTCCCATCGGCACAGCGATACTCCGCCAAAGAAACACCTGGCGTTATCTTCGAAACCCCCGTAGAAGAACCCCGCTTCCGACATCGACCTTCCGTCGGGTCTGTCGTGCTGCCAGTTGCGAAAGGTTTTCATCCTGTCTTCCTCGTCTTCAAATTTTGGAAAGGTAGCGGTTCTCTGCATAATTTCCTTATGCATTACCTACTGATAATAGACTGATTTCGTATGAAGACAAATATGCACAATAACAACTTTATATTGTTTTTTTGTAATAAAGATTTTATTGAAGACAAAACAGAATATAAGATTTCGTGTTTTTCCCTTTTCTTTAGTACTTAATGTATCGGAACATTTTTTTTTTAAATTTTATTCCGAAGACGGGTTGTACTTCAACATTTTCGAGAACAGCCAGTCGTCAAGTTGCTGTTTAAGTTCATCGTCTCCGTAAACGACCGTGTCTTGGTCGGAAATGTCCTGTTCGTCCGACGATTCGACTGGAAGCTGAGAATCCTCCGGAAAGTAGTCGGCGAGGTTTCCTTCTCCGGCTGTCGTTCGTCGTCGAAGGGAAGTTGAGAGTCCTCGTGAAAGGATTCCGTTAGGTTTCCTTTGCCGTCTGCGGTCTCAGCTTCTGTTCGTTCGTCGCCGACGCCAACAGTTTGGGAGGTGCTTGCGTCGTCGTCGTCTTCATTGTCGAACTTGATCCTTTTGGTATAAGGAGCATCGGACTGAAGAAAAACAATCAAAAAATAAAAATAAAGGTAAACTTACATCACGTCACACGTTACGTCCTCTTTGAAAAATGACGTCCTGGTCCTTGTCGCTCGAATCGTCGTCGTCGTCGTCGTCGTTGGCTTTGTCCTTCTCGCCTCGTTTGTCGCCGGATCGCAACAACCTGACTCCTTTCCGCGAAAGCAGGAAACTCTGGAGAACGACCACGACGCAGAACCTGATGGCCTGCGAGGCGGTGAGAACGATCGCCCAGTGTCGTCCGACCTTGTTTATCGGACAGTCGGCGGCGTCGATGCTGTTGGCGCTGAGGTCCAGAAGGTTTTCGTAGCAGTCGCCCAAGGACGTATCGCACTCCATCACGTCCCGACCGTCGAAGGCGCACGGCCCGAGTTTGCGAGCACGTTTCTGACGAGGTCGACGGTGGCGATCGCTACGCTTGCCAGAGACGCCGCCTCCCACACGTCGGAGAGCGATGCGTACCTGGAGATCGCGGCGGCGAAC